TCAATCAATCAATCATTATCGCTATCATAAACATTATAAAATGAAATTTTCACTGATGCTATCAGTAGTAACTAACATCGCTTGGTACTTTGATTTTATTCTTTCTTTGCTTTCATTTCATTTTTATTTCATTTATAGTAACACACTTTTCATATGATAATTAATTAATTAATTTTGTCATTTTTAAAGTTTATTTTTCATTTTTTTTACAATATACCAAAAAAAAAAATAATTATTATTATTGTTATAGTGATTAAATTAAAAGATTATTATGAATATATTATCATTTGTAAATATATAATACTATTAGTTATTAACTAATTTTTCGCTTTTTTTTTTCCTTTCAATTTTAATAATTTAAATAATTTATTTAAAAAATTATATATTATTTTAGCAGGAAAAATTTGTGAAAATTTAGATATACTTTTTTCTTTTTTTGCCCGAATTTTCGTTTACATATTTTAATATAAAAGTCGAACAGAAATGTGATATTTATTTATTTTCGATACTTTTTTAAATTTAAATAGTTCATTAATTATTTGAATTATTATAGGGTGGAAAATTAAAATTTAATTTAACCTTATTTTTTTGCATTTTTAATATTTTAAATAATTTATTTAATAATTTCTATATTGTTTTTAAAAGGGAAAAGTAATTACCTTTATGTACATAAATATTGCTTACCGTACTATAAAAATATAATTTTTGAAAAATTTTCAAGTAAACAAATTTTTTTTTTTCAATAATATAAAGATTGAAAGAGAGAGAGAGAGGGAGAGAAAGCGAAAGAAAGAGAGAGGAAGAGTAATCTGATCTGATAAAGCTTTTATTAAAATGAATAACAAATTCAATGTGCAATGATTGATTGCTAAATTTGAATCATATAATTTATTAATATATTAATTATTATAAAATTCGGAACAGAAAAAAAAAGAAAAGAAAATTTTGAAATTAATATTTAATAATTTTATATTTTTTTTAAAAAAAAAGAGAAAGAAAAGGTGAATGAATAAAATTAATTACTACTTGTTTATATTTCTTTTCTATATATAACTCTTTCTCTCTCTCTCTTTCTCTCCCTCTCTCTCTCTCTCTCTTCTCACCTGCTAAAAGATAAAAGTACACATGAAATGTTGCTAACTTGTTTCTTTGTAATAGAAATAAGTCAATTATCAGTTTAAAAGTGAAAAAAAAAAATCGAAGTTCAACTTATTTCCATATCTCTCCTTCTTTTTTTTATTTATTTATCATTTTTTTCTTAATTTTGTTATCTGTTATCAATTTTTCTTTTTTTTTTTTTGTTTCTTTATGAAGAAAAAGTTTTCATCGATGTAATATTAATATTTAAATATTCTTAAAAATGATATTTAAATTTAAATTATATAGAAAAGCAATAAATGGAAATATGGTAAATTGATTTCAAATATTTTATTTCGATTATTTGTAAATAATAGAAGCATAAGAAACAATGATTTGATGACATATGACATGTTTTTATGATGGATTTTATTTCCTTTCTCTCTTTTTTTTTTTTTTTTTTAAAATTTCATTTGTCATATTTACTGGGTTAGAATTGATTGTTTCCTTTCTTTTTCTTTTAAAATGATTTTAAGCTATCCTTTATGTTTGTCTGTTATTGTGCTTTTTGCAATTTGACAATTTCATTTTCTATATTTTTTAAATTAAATATGCACTTTTGTTTATCTGAATGAATGAATGAATGAACTAACAACAGAAAAGCGGGCAATTCAACACGGGATGTGAATTGCCCGAGCTAAAAGGCGGGTAAATAAGAAAACGATGAAAGATAGGGTGAAAATAAGAGTTCAGCAAGCGAATATTTGATTATCAAAAAAAAAGAAAAAAAAGGCATTAGCTATTCTTGTATAATTGCTAATTTAACTTTTGGTCGATTGAAGTACATTGGCGAAAAAAAAAAATTGAAAAATTTGTTTTTTGAAAATATAATCAAAAAAAAAAAAAAAATAGAATATTTCATATTTTTAAACATTAATTTGTTAATTTTACATTTATTGTGTAAAAAACTTTTTTTTTTTGCTTTCATTTTCTTTTTTTTTCTTTTTTGTTTTTGTTCTATTATTTTTTTTTTTTTTATTCAAACAATAAGTAATTTGATACATTTTACTTATTACTTAAAATATTTGAATTATAGAATATTTGAATTGAAGCTTACTTTATTATAATTTCATATTTTATATTGTAAATTTATATTGTAAAAATTTATATTTATTTATATTTATATTACAAAAATTTGTATTTATATTGTAAAAAAGTAAAAAATTAATATTTATATTGTAAAAATAAAAAAAATTTGCAAATCTCCTTCAAGCAAATTGATAATGAATGATAAAATTAAATTATAAGAACGTTTATTCATGCGCAATTAAAAAATATTGTAATTATTATAAATTTAAAATTTTTCAAATTCTATTATTCTTTTTTGAGCATTTTTTGATAGCATTAAATACATTTCTTTTCTTTTTTTTTTTTTCAATTCCTTTTTCCTCAAAATTTCCTCAGATGAAAAATAATACGAATTTGGGATTTTTTTCCCGCATATTTCATGCCTGAATTTATGTTTACATTTATTTTGCAAATAGTTTTATAATTTTTGATCTGTAAAATTTTTTATCATATTTTTTAATACACAACTTTTTTTCATTTTATCGCTTATCAGAAATTTTTTCGTCATCGAAACAATCATTTTGTTAGCCTTCTCATAGCTTATTAAACACAACGTATGATATATGATAATAGATAAGAAGAATTTTATCTTTTATCAATTTTTATATTTAAAATCTTAAAATGTATAAAAGCAAAAAAAATACCATTAAAATAATATCACTTATATAGCATTCTGATAAATTCGATAATTTAATCATTTTTATGAATGAATCATTTATGAAATATCATATATACTGATTGATAAAAAATACTGAATATAATTGTAATTATAATTTTAAGTGTTTAAGTGTTAATTAATTCAATTTTAATTAGCGCTAGCAAAAGAAATTTTTTAACTGATAATGATAAAAAATAAAAGTAATAATTATATTTATACAACATCTGATATAGTTATTTTTTTTTTAAAAAAAAAGAAACACTTATCATTAACGATGAAAGTTAGAACTTTGTGATAAAGATTTATACAAATTATATTAGTAATTGATTAGAATTATCATTAAAAAAAGTTAATACTTTGATTTAGTAAACAATAATAATTATAATAAAATATTATAAATGAATTTTATCATATAATTCAATAATGATTATGTATTTAACATAATAATCATACAGTATAATATATTTTATTAAGTAAAAATTATTAATTCATTTGTAAGAAAAAATTTTTAATGAGAATTAATTATACATATAAATTTACATATTATTGTTTATTTATTTATTCGTTTATTTATTTATTTATAAATCTATACAAGACAAAATATGGTAAGGCAATTCTTTACAGATTGGTAGAAAAAGAAAACAAACTAAAAGTGTCCCCTTGTCTCTGTTCTTGTCCTCCTCCATCCTTTGTTGACATCATTATACCCCCTGTCTTTTCATCATCATACCGTCATCATCAGGAATTCATCGGGTATATATATAGCTATGACATTGCAGTAGCATTTTGTACGATAATTTCGTTATCATTTTTTTTTTTTTATTTCTTTATTTATTTATAATGTATGAAAGACAAAATATAGTCTATCATTTTTAAATCATTAAAAAAAGAAATTAATAATAATTAATTAGTAGTAAATTTCTATTAACCTATTCATTTATTTAAATTTTCCATTAATCTTTTCCTCTTGTTTTTTTCTTTTTTTTTTATTAACTTTTTTCCTCTTTTTTTTTTATAAATTTTCAGCTCCACTTCTTTTTTTTGTAATTTTTTATTTAATTTTAATTAATTTTTTTTCTTTTAAACAAATTATTACATTGTTGTTGAATGCATATATTAATTTAATAAATTTCATAGTAATGCATTATGGTTAATGATTAATGACATTTATCAAAAATATATATTTTCAAATTTTATTTATTCCTTTCTTTCCTTTTGTTTTTATTTTCTCTCTCTCTCTCTTTCTCTCGCTCTCTCTCTCTCTCTTTTTATTTCGTTCTTTCATTTCAAAATATTGTCATTCCTTTGTTTAATCAGTTTTTTTCCTAGGAAACAATAAAATTAATTGTTATAGCTTTTGAAATTTTGGTAATAATTTCAATTTATTTAATTATTTTAATATTTAATTATCATTTAAAATTTATATACTTTTGTTAAATTTACTGAAATAATTATAAATCAAATTCATTGGAAGTATTTTTAAAAGGCAAAAAAAAATTTTTTTTTTAAGATATATTTATTTCTGTTTGTACATTTTCCCTTTTTTCTTTTTCTCGCTTTTCATTTGCTGGCCACTAAACTGAGTCAATATTTCTTTTTTCATTTTTTTTCATTTTTTTTTTTTTGTTGGAATGAGCCTTTTTTAAAAAGAGCCATTATTTTCCATTGCTATTATTTCGATCATATGTCTTTGTTATCTTCTCTCTCCCTCTCTCTCTCCCTCTCTCTCCCTGTCTCTCTCTCTCTCTCTTTCCCTCTCGTTATATATTTATGTTTGTTTGTTTAGTGATATAAAAATTTTTTATCCAATTTTTCAAATCAAATTTGAATTAATTTAAACTAAAAGAATTTTTTAGCATTATTATTGTACAATTTAGTTATTAATAGTTTCAGAATTGATTTTTCTTTTTCCAAAAATATTTTTTTTTTTTTTAAATTTGTTTTTTCAGTGTAATTTTCATTTGTTATCTTTCCTTTTTTTTTCCTTTTTTTTTTTAATTTTAAATCGTTAAACAATTTTTTTCGCTTTTTTTTTTACTATCAAATTTCTTTTTTTTTCAGGTGAAAAGGAAAGAAAAAAGAGAGAAAAAAAGAAGAAAGAAGAAACGAAAAAGAATTGCAATTGTAAAAAAGTGAGATGATAACAACATCAACAATATCAACAGCTGTTGATGTTACGCTTAATTTGGTTATTCCGGATGAAACAAGTACCACAATGGAACGGAATAAACCGGAAAAGCACAATGAGCAATTCTTATTTATTGATGAAAATGATAAGAATGAATTACAATTGAGTAATGAATCAACAATACCGGATTGGACTGAAGTTATGCAAATATCGGAAACAGTTATTGATAATAATAATAGGTAAGAATGTTAAAAATAATTAGTAATAATAATAGATATCAAAAGTAATTACTGATAATAATAGGTCAGAATATCAAAAAATAATTATTGATTGGGATAGATGAAAATATCAAAAAATGATTATCAATTCTAATAGATAAGAATATCGAATGTATTAATTAATTAGTAATAGGTAAATTATTTGAATTACTATTAAAAATAATTGGTAATAATAATAGTAGATAGATTTATTTATATTTTTTTAATTTATCATCAATTTTATTTATTCATTTGAGAATAGGTAATTTACCCAATTTAATATATAATATTAAAAAGTGAATGTCTTTTTTCCCTCTCTCTCTCTCTCTCTCTCTCTCTTTTGTTTCTTTTTTCTAGCTAATTAATGAAATCTTTTAAAATAATTATTTACTTTTATATCATTTAGAATTATCATTGATTTGATCAAGTTAACCCTTTTTTTTTCCCTCCTCTGATCAATTTGACAATTAATTTGTTGATCATTTGACATACATATCGTAGCAGTAATAATAGATTATCGAAAAAATGAAAAACTAATAAATAATTATTATTTCTAGTTGTTATTTAGTTTACAACTCTTATCATTACTAATTTAAATTATTTAAATTTCCAGTTTTTCATAATTTATTTATAATTTCAGTGAGTGTTTTTAATCTTCTATTAGCATTATTTAATAAAAATATTATTGAAGAAAATTGCTTAACAATTATATTTTCATTTCTTTTTTCTTTTTTTTTTTTTGATATATACAATGAAATTTGTTAAATTGTGACAAAAATTTTAATCAATCACAGATTATATGTTAATTTAGTAGTTTAGTAGCTTGAATTTATTTCATCTTTAAAAGTAATAGTAATTTTTAAAAAAGAAAAAATAATAATAGAAATTTAAGGTAATAATAATTAAAAGAATTAGGTATTAATTGTTAATTTTTCAAAATTTATTACTGAATATTATCGGTTTTTTTTTTGATTAAAATTTTTCATATTTATTAATGTTATTTACGTTTTATGTTTTTTTTTTTCGTCCGGAATAAATGCATTTTTATTTTTATTTTTTTATTATTATGTTATTAATTTGAGATTTTAAATAATATTTGAATACAAAATGATTTATATATTTTTTTCTATTAGGTATAATAAATCGGATGATGAAAGTTCAAAGAAATCTGCAAAAATGACAACATCATCGGATGCATCAACATTTGATTTTACAAAAATTGAAACTTTATTTTCAAACTCAACGGCAACATCCAGTACTGATAAGGCTGAATGCGATGAGATAAATGCAAAAGATGATGATGATAATGATAATGATAATGATAATGATAATGGTAATAGAGAGGAAAGCAATGTATCAAAAGAAAAGGTTTGATTTTTTTCTTTAATTTTTCTTTTATTCCTCTTTTTTCTTTCAAAAAAAAAACTTTTAAACTGATATTTATTATTAATTTAAAATTGTATCAAATCAATTTAATGGGATTTAATGTTATAATTTGCAATTTAAATAAAATTTTTTTCAAAAAAAAAAAATACACAATTTTAAAAAATATATTTGAAGTATTTTAACATTTTGTTTTATTTTTACACAATTTTAGAAAATATATTTGGTTTATTTTAACATTTTATTTTATTTTAAAAACTTTTTAAAATGTTTGACTTTTAACTTTTCTTTTCTTTTTTTAAAGTGAATTTATAAAATTAATATTTAAATTTGAAATTATTTTATTATTCTATTCATTTTTTTTTCTATTTTAACACTATCCTATATGATAAGTACTTCAGCAAAATATTAATATATTGCTTCGATTAAATAAGCATCATTTAAATTAATTTTTAAAAAAATAAATCATTTAAATTAATTCACTTGTTTGAAAGAAACTTTTTTCTTTTCTCTCATTGCATTTTTTTTTTCTTTTAATTTCTTTTTAAGCATTTTCCATTCCTTTTTTTTTCCTTGCGAATTATTAATTCCATAAATGGTTAGATAAGATGAAATTATTGTTGAACTGATCATTTATCAGTTATCAGTATACATTTTGATATGATAATTTTTTTTTTTTTGTTGTTCAGATAGTTATATAATATTTCCGGTTAACTGACAAATATCTTTACTTTAGTTAATATTTCTATGTTCCCAACAAAAAAATGTTTTTTTGTTGATTCGTTGACAAGAAAAAGTACTTTTTTAGTAGTACCGGAAATGCTCCAGCATTCTCGTCAATTCTTGTTGACCCTCTTCAGATGGCAAAATGGGAAATGTCTTATTGGTTGATATTAGGATCTCTCTCAAAATGATAATCTATTATAATTTGAAATGGAATTCCTCATATCACTTTTCTTTTTTTTTCTTCTTTTTCTTTTTTTTTTGGCAATTATAAAAATTTTTTTCTTTTTTTACGTATAAATAATTATGGTTATCATTTAATGTTAACGATGATATGTTAACAGTACCTTATCGTAGTGTACTGTAATAATCCTAGTACACAAGCTTAGATGGTAACGTGACACTGATATGTTAACAGTACCTTATCATAGTGTACTGTAATAATCCTAGTACACAAGCTTAGATGGTAACGTGACACTGATATGTTAACAGTACCTTATCATAGTGTACTGTAATAATCCTAGTACACAAGCTTAGATGGTAACGTGACACTGATATGTTAACAGTACCTTATCATGGTGTACTGTAATAATCCTAGTACACAAGCTTAGATGGTAACGTGACACTGATATGTTAACAGTACCTTATCATGGTGTACTGTAATAATCCTAGTACACAAGCTTAGATGGTAACGTGACACTGATATGTTAACAGTACCTTATCATGGTGTACTGTAATAATCCTAGTACACAAGCTTAGATGGTAACGTGACACTGATATGTTAACAGTATCTTATCATACTAACTAATATTGTTAGTATACAAGCATATGATTGGTATTAATAAATTTGCTAAAATAAGATATGGTAGTTAATTATTTATGTGATAGATAATAAATATATAAATTTTGATTTAGATATAAAAAATTTAGCTAAAAGAAAATTGTTTACTGTCTTTTTTGTTGTTTAAAAATAAATTTTAGGAAAATTTACTTTTTTTTCGTTTTGCTTTATATTTTCAATGACAAATATTGAATGCTTTGTAAATGTTTGCAAGAGTTTTGTCTAAATTATTATAAAATATTACTATTATTCATTGCAGTAAGTTGTGAGTTTGAAATGGAATACTTTCTTAATATTTCAATGATTAGAAATTGAAATTAACTTAGATGTTAGCTTTTTGTTTTTTTGTTTTTTTTTTTGGGTCATTTTGATCTGTTTTAATGTTTTTATAATTAAAATAGCAATGAAGGAAAAAAGTCATAAATAATACAAAAATAGTAGTATGAAATTGATTCATAAGTTCTATAATTTATCATTTAAAATTTCAACTAATTTTTCTAATTAATTCTAAACATTTAAAAACTTATTTTGATTTTAATGATTTTTTTTTTGATAAAAAAGTAAAAGTTGAAATATCATTAATTGATTTTAAAGGAAGCGTTGCATTAAAAAAAAAAAAAAAAATGAAAGATTAGAAAAGATAGCAAAGAGAAATCAATCATTTAGCATAAGCTAAAATAAAGTGAATTGAAAAGAAATGAAATGAAATGAAATGAATTGAAATGAAATGAATTGAAATGAAATGAAATGAAATGAATTGAAAAGAGATGAAATGAAATGAATTGAAATGAAATGAAATGAAATGAATTGAAATGAAATGAAATGAAATGAATTGAAATGAAATGAAATGAAATGAAATGAATTCAAATGAAATGAAATGAAATGAATTGAAATGAAATGAAATGAAATGAATTGAAATGAATTGAAATGAATTGAAATGAAATGAGATGAGATGTAGTTAGTTAAGTAACGTTGATACACGATGATGATCCATTGTTGATGTTAGATGAGCCAAAACGAGTATAATCTTTGATCAATAATTGAAAAACACCGCGGTAAGAGTTAGTTGTTTATATTTTTCTTCTTTGGTAGTTAAATCAATTATTGTTTTTATATGCATTTTTTTTTTTTAAAAAAAAAGGAAGAAAAAGAAATTTTTTTTTTTTTTTTTTTTTTTGTAAATTTTTTTAAATAAATGATAAATAATAAAACTTTTTAGATAGCATCATTAATTTTTATTGTTATTATTATTATTGTTAGAACTTGTAAAATTATCTATCTCACCTTTCTTTTTTTTATCTTTGCTCTTGTTTCAGTCATTTTTCTTTTTCGATTAAGAATAGAGAGAGAGAGAGAAAAGGATGGAAAGTACTTGAAATTATATTTTAAATATTTCAATATAGTTTTTCAAAATTAAACAAGATTGATCAAAAAGATAAATTAGTAATTATTAAACGGATCAGCATTAATTTAATATGTAAAAATTTTTTAACAAAAATTTTTCTATAATAGGAATGAAAAATGAAAAAGAAAAAAAAAAAAGTTCATCGTACCCTATTCTTAATATCATCAAAATCAATCAAGAATGAAAAATGGCAATTTTTTTTTTTTTTTTTTTTTTAGAAGCTCCATTTTGCTGACGTTCACATGCCAATATGAACGGACTTGATAGATTACATTAGAATTTTGTTTGTTCAAAAAATTTTTAAAACTTTTCCCAAAATAAAATACTTTTTCGTTTTATATTCTTGCTAGCTCTAAAGTTTTAATTCATTTTAATTTAATTATAGAAATGTACTATTATATAAATGTAAAATGTATAAATTAATCATTAAAGTTTATTTTTTTATCATTCTCTTGTCTCTCTCTCTCTCTCTCTCTCCCTTTCTCTCTTTCATTTTCTTCTTTTTTCTATTAAAATTGGTTAATTTAAACTTTAATTATTTTAACTGATATTGATTGTCGTTTGTTTGTTTTTTTAATGTATATTTGAAGGTTCTTTTTTTCATTACTTTTTATCAATAATATTGATCTATTCCCTAAATTGCAATATATTATCATGTTAGTCATTTCTGACTACAAATATATGATTAATATTATTTTAGAAGTTATCAATAAGAAAGCCATATTGATAATTTCAAAATAGCCCACAAACATTTAATTAATTAATTAATTTATAAAATTTATGAATCTTTTTTTTTTTTTTGCAATCATTTATTATAATAAAGTGTTGCTGTTTTCTATGCTAAAAATGACGAAAGCTTCACATTTCTGTTTTGGTAAACAAAACTAAGCGAAATAGCAATAACAATTTTAGCCAACCCTATTAGCCTCGAGGAATTTTTATTATTATTATTATTATTGTTATTCTTTAGGCAATCGATTTTGATCGATTCAACTTGTTTTTATCTAAATCTTATTGAATAGTTCTGTTTTTCTTTTTTTGTTTGTTTGTTTGTTTATTTGCTTATGTTTTTTAATTTTTAGCTTTTCATACATTTTCCTCTGACGAGTAGTAATAATTTTTCATTTTTCAGTCTAAATTTACCCTTTAATAATTTTACATTCTATCAAATTTGATTGATATTTGCCTGCTGTAGTAATATATTTTAAACGTCCAATATTTAATTTGAAATAAGCAAAATATTCATTCATTGTGAATTTGATGCTTAAATCTTTTATTATCATAAATGGTTATAAAACTACACTTTTTATTTAAATGAGTTTTAATTTGAGTTAATTTTTAAAAATTATACATTTTTTTATTTTACAAATTAAAAATTTTTCTTTTATGAAAAATTGAAATGATAAAAATTATAACGCTTTGCATGCACATTAGCTATTTTCTTTTTACTTTTTCCAATCTTTATCACTCTTATTTTAATTATTCAAATTACATTTTCAACTATAATTAAATTTAATTATTCACTTCCCTAATTTGACTTACTTTAATATTTGCTGTAATTGATTACTTCTACTCTTTTTCTTTTTGTTTTCTTCAAAATTTAGAAAATTTTATTAGCTATGAGTTTTATCAAATCAATTAATGAATAATTATTTATCGGAAGGATATAGCTAGGATATTTTAGTAATTAGTATAGAATTATTATCAAAAATATAATTTATAGCTTTATGTGAAGTTTTATAAAAATTATCGATTTTTTTTTTCTTCTTTTTTTCGAGATTTTCAACAAGCAATTGTTTGTATTATGGTAATGCAAAAGTATAAACATTCTTTTGCTTTGCTTATCCTTCTGCTTTAATTTGGTTTTTTTTCTTTCTCTCTCTCTCTCTCTCTCTCTCTCTCTCTCTCCCTTCAAATAATTAATCAGTTTTCTTATTCGAACCTGTAAAATTTCATCTTTCTTTTTTTTTCGTTGAAATTTTACAATTTTTTTAGCAAAAGTGCTAGAAAACTTGCTTTATTGCTACTTTGATAAATTCAATTTTAGATTAGCTAAAATATTTGCTAACAACGCGTAAATTTTTAAATGTTTGCAAAAAAAAAGAAAATAGAAAAGCAAAAATGCAAAATTAACTGAAATGAATTAATTATTGACATAATTTTTTGCATTGTAAAAATTTAGATTAATGCACTGAAAAGTTTGAAAATCAAAGATTTGGTATTTGGAAGTATTGTTGTAACTGAAGTAAACAGTAAAAACAACAACAACAACAACAACAACAACAACAACAGCAACAGCAATAGCAATAACAACAATAGCAATAACAACAACGGCAACAGCAGCAACGACAATAACAACAATAACGACTATAGCAACAACAATAAAGGCAATCAACAACATCTAAATGTATTAATTTTGCGTTTTTGTTTCTTTCTCTTTTTCTCACTTCGTATTTTAAGAATTTCTTAATTCTCTTTTTTTTTTTTTCATGAAATTGATGAAGTTTTTGAAATTAATTAATTAACAGAATTTTCTTAAATCCTTTCTATGAAAATTTGTAACTTTTTCTAAATTCTATTCACTTCATTGCAGTAAAAAATTTGTTTAATATTAATTATTATTATTATATTATTATTATTATTATTATTATTATTATTATTATTATCACTATTAATTTATTATTATAATTATTATCACATAAATTATTTATCATTTTTCATGCTCTCTTTTTTTTTTTTACTTTATTTAATAACTTTTGCAGATGCTAGTTAATTTGATCAAACATAAAATCTATGACTAATTAACTATTAAATGCTCAGATATTATGCATAGGAATTATTAATTTATTTTTGATCATTAAATGATAATAATTAAATTATCTTCTAGAAGGATATATATTCATTGAATGGTGCCTTATGCGATAAGAAAAAATCATCATCATTATATGATGAGAAATCAATAAAAAATCGATATTTAAATCGATATGATCAGAATAGTGGTAAAGAGAAAAAGCGAAAAATTAAAGAAATTAATTCACGTGGTTCTTCAATAAGTCCATCATTTCAACGATCACTTACGCCATCGCTTGATCCAAAATTATTGAAACAATTTGAGGAAGAAGATCGTCCCAAACGTGTACTACGTTCGTCTACTATTGCATCAAGTATTTCAAACGTTACTGTCACCAATAATACTATTATCAATGATAATTCCAACAGAATTATCAATCATAATTTTACAATGAAAATGATTGCTAAAAAAACAGCTAATGGAAAAACAGTTTTGAAAAAACCGAAGAAGAAAAAGTCCGAAAAATTGTCAACCAACTTTACAGCTAATAAAATATTTCCAATAATGGGAAATGTTTTATATTCAACACAACTAAATGAGGAAGTGAAACAAAATCGATCACAATCGAAGGATATTAATAAAAAAACTGAATTACATAGCAAACGTTTAAGGGTTTGTTTTTCTTATTTATTTGTGTATTTGTTTGTTTGTTTATTTATTTACATTTTTGTTTATGTCTCTTTTTTTTTTTCATGCATATATTCGTCTTGAAGAAAGGAAAAATGATTAATAATTTTTAATATACACATTTTCTTCATATAAGTCATGTATTTTAAATTAATTCCAAATTTTGTATTATATTTGAAGTATTAAGGAAAAAAAAAATCTTCGTGAACACTATAATAAATTTTACCTTTACAAAAAATATACCTTTTCAGTTTTACTCATTGAAAAATAAGAAAAAAAAACAACTTGAATTGAATAAAATAAGGACAAAAAAGAGAAAAAAAAAGTGAAAAATGAAAACAGAAAGAAATGAAAAAATGATAAATAATTTTAATAATATCTCAAATTTTTTATAAAATATTATTCATCTCGTAAAACTTCAAAAATAAATAAATAAATTTCAGACTGAAATAGATGGATTATTGGATAATGAATTGATGGTGACATTCGATGATCTGAGAAATACGTCAGTACGACCACGTCATTGGTCAGGAGCAAGTAGTAGTCATGCTAGTACTTCCAGTGGTTCAAATGAATTTACCGTGATAACAAAAATGAGGAAAAGACGTGACTCATCATCACGAAATCGAAGAAATAATTTTAATTCAAATTGGAAATTAATTGGTTTACCATATGAAAGTTCCGTCTACATTGATGTAAGCTTTAAAAAAAAAAAAAAGAAAAAAACAAATTTATCATAATTTATTTTTATTCATTAATTTCTAATTTTAATTTTAAGCTAGAAAAAGAAAAAAATGTCTCGTCTTTTTTTATTTTCATTTCAAATTTATTATTTGTTTGTTAATTTACAAATTATTCTATGATATTTTGTGATAAGTAAATCTGATCTTTTCGCAGTATTTCTTCCATGAAAATCAATCGATCAAACAAATTTGCTATCCACAAGCTGTACATTCCAAGACCGGTGATCTCTTGAGACTTCGTGATTCTGTACGAGTAAATTCCATTGATGGTGAACCAAATTTTGCATGTATTTGTCGCTTATTCAATGATTCAAAAACGGGTAGGTAAAAATTTTATTTTCAACAATAAAATTTTTATAGGTACAAATTAAATTGAATAAAAAAAAAAAAAACAAAACTGAAAGTTTAATTTTAAGTTTAAACTTAATATGTTCTATGAAAATGTATTGTTAAATACTAATTTAAAGAAGTCTGTTGTTGAAACTTCATCATTATTTCAATTGTGTTTTGAATTTAAAAAAAAAAAAAATTGAAAAGAGAGATAAATTTAAATTTTAGGAATGCCTTTGGCATCAGTATTGTGGTACTATACCCCGATGCAAGTTAAAGCTGATAATTCATTAATTCCACCGGTATTTGAACGGGAATTACTTGCTTCAAAGCATATGGATATTATACCGCTTGATACAGTGGATGAAATTGTATGGGTACTAACGTATAATGAATATGGCCGGTAAGAATTTACGTGAGAATTTGCGTGTACACGTGATACGTGAAGATTTATATTTCTATTTAATTCTTATTTTTTTTTCTTTCTCTTCGTTTTATTACTCAAGTTTAATACCTTATATGTTGTATGCTAGTTTTCTTTCCATTTTGTGAAAGATTTTTGATCAAATTTCAAAATTTTTTTTTTTTGAATTTCAAAAATTGTTTTTATAATAATTAATTATAATACAACATGACTTTCTTTCATTTCAACTTCATTAGTAACTAACCATTCATGTTGTTTTTAATGTAATTATTAATTTAATGAGTTTTTTTTTTGTTTTAATTTTGAAATTTAGGTTTATGGCTGAAACAAGAAATGATACATATCCACTTGCGCAACGTGTAAGTGAGGTAGATCTATTATGGAAGAAAGGTGAAGATGATTATCCACGACGGATCTATCTTCCACGTGATGATACACCACTTGAATTGGTAAGTTAATCGATAATTAAATGATTTAAATTTAATATTGATTTTTTGATTCTAATAAATTTTATTTATTTCGACAAATTTAATTTTAAAATACATGAATGATAATTTTGTTCAGTTGTAATTCTATCATTTTATTATGATAGTTTTTTCTAAAATTTGAATTTATATTTTCATTTTCCTAACTTTTTTTTTCTTGTTTTCTGCTTTTCAGATTTTATTTTTAAGTTTTTATTGAATTTGATATGATTTAGGTCTATTTTTGCCGTCGTATCTATGATTGCAAACAACAAAAAGTTGAAACAAAAAAGTTGGCGGAAAAAAATAATCAAATGAAGCGTCTTCGTCGTCATCCGTGGAAATATCGAACAAAAAAACACCGCTGAACAAAAAACATCCTTTGATTCATATTTAATTTTAACTGAAAATTTTTTATTTTCAGTTAATTTTCTTTTTTTAAATCTCTCTCCCTCTCTCTTTCTCTCTCTCTCTCTCTCTCTCTCTGTCAACGCATTATTTTAAGCTTTATAAAGCTTTTTTCATCAATTTTTATTATTTTTCATCCCACTATTATTATTTTTTTTGATAAATGATTATGTATAAAATTTGTTTTCTGGAGAACAATAAATAATTTAGGATATTCCATAAGTTTTATCCGATTATAATATGTTATTCCAGAATTTTATCCGGTTGTAATATAGTCAACCTCAAATTTTATCCGGTTATATAAATTTAAATTTCAACAAATTATTATGTTTTTTTTTTTCGAATTAAAAAGAGAAAAAATAATAAGCGCTGGTTTAAATTTAAAAGAAATTAAAACGAAATGCTATCCTAATTTATTTATATGATGTTCTCTGTATATTTTTTAAATTATTATTGTTAAAAAATTTCAAATATTGTACGATTTTTTCCTCAACTTTAAAATCATTCGTAAAAAAAAAAAAAAAAAGTTGTAAATGTCAAAAATACATGCACATATATCTTTTTCTTGATAAAATTGGAAAATATATTCATAAAAAAAAAAAAAAAAATGACATTTAAGAAATTGCATATTTTGAAAGATTTATTTCTGAAATATTTTTTTTTTTTTTGGAATTCACTTCTTTAAAAAAAAAAAAAAAATTTATTATTAATTTGATTAAATTATAAATATAATGGAAGTAACATTTATGCATAATTAATATTTAATTATGCAATGTTTTGATCTTTTATAAAATTTCACTTTTATATAATATATGCAATTTTTTTTTTTTTTTGAAAAAGAAAAAAAAAGCCAGTTTGTATTACCGTATGGCATTTATTACTTTTGTAACGTAAAAATAAGAATATTTACACGTGTATTTCTATTTTTGCAATTTTTTGTACGTGTTCACACTTTGTAATAATTAAATTTTTAATTTCATACATCGTTATTATCATTTCCGTTTTATTATCATTATTATTATTATTATTATTGTGATAATAATTACAATTTATGATTATGATTATTACATTATCTTTTAACTCGGGTTTCAATTATTCATTTCATTTCTTCTTTTTTTTTCTTATTCATTAACTTTTTGTCTTCTCGTTTTATTCACTTTTTCCTTTTAATTTTTTTTTATGAAAATATTTTTTTAAAATAATATTTAGTGAAAATAAGGCATTTGTATGATTTATAAAATACCATTTATAAATATATAAATATTAGTTAATTATATATATATATATATGTAGAGTGGTCATTGGACAAAATGATTAATTGTTTTCGTTTTTTTCCCCTTTTTTTTTCATTTCTTTTTTAATTTGCTATGGTATTTTCTTCTGATATTTCATGTTATATAATTTTAAAATACAGATAAATTAGACGAAATGCAACAAATAAAATAGATATTTTAATATTTTCTGACAAAAAAAAAAAAAAAAAAAAAAAATTAATACTCAAATTTATATTTGGTATTATTATTATTAATTATTAATTATTATTATTATGAGGAAATGATAATAAATATGTTGTACTTACAATTTATCTTTAAAATTGGGACAATTCAGGTATTATACATTTTTGTTGATAATTTTTGAAAAAAAGAAAAAATGAATAAACTATTTTATCCATTTTTTTTTTTATTTTTTTTCACATAAATGAAAAGTTTTTTTTGTTATTGTTTAAACGATTTGCAATAAATGAATGTGTTTTTTATTATTAGTCTACAATAAATGCTTCTAGAATTATATATTTGTTAGTTTGATCGTTTTTTCTTTATAAAAAAAAAAAAAATATTTTTTTAGCATTTTGTTATTAACGATGAAAATTTTTTTATTTATGTTTTTATTTAATTTTTGTGTGCAATTATAGAGGAAAATTTGAATGAAAAAATCTTAAAGTATAAAGCAAATTGTTTTTACTAAAAAACTTTGTGAATTTTTTCATTAAATTTTTCTTTTATTTGATTCATACAAAAAACGAAAAAATAAATAAATGATAGTAATTTTTATTATTTATTGTTTTTTTGTTTTCTTTTCTTCTTTTTTGATTTTTGTTTTTTTTTTTTCTTTTAAAAAATGCCTTATTGTTTTATTATTTAATGTTAAATTAAAAAGTTTATTTAGCAAAAAGATAAATGGAATAAGTGATTTTTGAATATTTAATGAATCACATAAATAATGTTTTGTACTCTTCTACGTTTACTCTACACTTACTTCACGTATTCCTTTTACTTTAGTCATACACGTATATTATCATTACGGGATTATTGATTATCACTGGCCTATCATTCATAAAATTTGCTTACTATTATTATTTTATTTTTTTTTTCACACATTAGGTGGGTATCTGTTTGTGTGTGTATGTGTGTTAGAGAAAATTAATAAAAATGAAAGTAAACAAAAATTGTTTAACATAATTTAACTTACGTCATTTTTATTACTTAAGATATTACGTAAGAATTGCTTTTGCGCCATTATATTTTGAAAATTCATTTAATAATAATACGTAATAAAAATTTTTTTTAAAAAAAAAAAAAAAAAGAAAACGCATATGAAAGCATTTGATGTTATGTAATTATATAAAATGTTACTTTTGAAATATGTATTAAATGTAAAACTAAGTTACTTACTTTTGAAATATGTATTAAATGTAAAACTAAGTTACTTACTTTTGAAATATGTATTAAATGTAAAACTAAGTTACTTACTTTTGAAATATGTATTAAATGTAAAACTAAGTTACTTACTTTTGAAATATGTATTAAATGTAAAACTAAGTTACTTACTTTTGAAATATGTATTAAATGTAAAACTAAGTTACTTATTTTTTTTTTTTATTATATTCATCATTTAATATGAATGTAGGTTATAATAAAATATATTATAACAAACAAGTGATATCAATCAGTAATTTTTGCATTTTAATATTAATTCAATAATTTGTGTTTTTTTAACAATATCAAATCAATAATTTTTATCATTATTATCATTATTAATCAAAAACTTTTATTTCTAATAATATTAATCAATAATGCATATCTTTAATTATCAGTAAACCAATTCGTATCATTAAAAGTAAATTGTAATTATATAATAATATCAATCAATAAAATTTTCCTTTTAACATTATTAATTCAATAATTTGTGTTTTTTTTTAAACAATATCAAATCGATAATTTTTATAATTAACATTATTAATTAATAACTTTAATTTCTAATAATTAAATTTAATTACTCAAATTTGCTCCATCATACTTTTCCCATATGATTTACAATCTTTTTTTTTGTTTGAAGAAGATTGAATGCTACAATTTGGTTTGGTTGTTGAGTGGTGTGCGCACATTCATTTCGGATTTAGCAAAAATCTATTCAATATGAAAAGGCGAATAATGGAGAGAGGGAGAGAGAGAGAGAGGGAGGGATGGGAAGAGAGGAAGAGAGAGGGAGAGAGAGAGGGAGGGGAAGAGAGGAAGAGAGAGGGAGAGAGAGAGAGGGATGATAAAAAGGGTTTATACTACTACTACACTATACTAATACCATATTTAATTGATTTTTAATGTTAGAAAATATACTTTACTCTTTACTCTTTTGCAATGGCTTTTTTGATTAAATTTCCATATACTCTCGAAAAATTCTGTCATCTTTGTGACCTCTCTCTCTCCCTCTCCCTCTCTCTCTCTACAAAATTGAAAACTATTTCACAGTGTTGTTGCAAAGATGGTTGGTGTTATTCATTCAGTTATTCTCACTCTCGTTATCTCGAGAATTGTTAATGAGACAGAGAGTCATATATATATATATATATATATGTATCTTTTTTTTTCACAAGGATAAGAAATCGATGGGGCAAAAAAAAAAAAGAAAAAAGAAAAATGATGATGAAAAATTGTAGGGGTCAAATTTTTATTCAATTTATAATTTCATTTTATATTTCTTTGCTATGTTTTTTTTTTTTTTTTTAATAGATTAAAATGGAAGTGAATACATTAAAGATTTTAAATTAATAATAAACAAAAAAAAATTTTTTTTTTTGCTAATTAATAATAAATGAAATGAAAATTTCCTTAACCAATGATATTGTTTATTATTATATATTTTGATAATGATATTTAATTTGCATAAAATGATTGTAAATTAAATTTAATCAAAAATTTTAATTACAAATTTCAGTGGCAAGCGATGAAATTAATTGACCGAGTTAATTAATTAATTAGTTGCAATGAAATATTTTGTTCATTATTAAATATGTTTTATATGTATCGAAAAAACTTTCCAAATAAATACTATGTGAAATTATTGTTTATACGACTATATATATACTTACTCATTTATTTATTTATTTACTTACTTACTTATTTATTTATTATTAAATAAATATCTTAATCCTTTTTCATTTCTATTAATAGAAATTGCCAAACACACATGCAATGAATAATATTTTATAACTCAGAATAAAATTATCATAGATATGATGATGATCAAATAGGCAATTTCTTGTTTTAGAATAAAAATTTGTCAAATTCGTGCTTTAAATTCAAATTTAAATTAAAATTTCAATTCAAATAATATTTTTTGACTAAAACATGAGTCAAAAAATAAAAAAAAGAAAGACATTACTGATTTTTATACCAAAAAAAAAGCGAGAAAAACGAAAAAGAGAAATACGAAGGAAAATTGAAAATGAAATAACATTAAAGTAGCGATTAAATGAAAAATATCAAATGATTAATGTTATTAACAAATTTTTGCAAAATATCTTTTTTACAACAAAATTTTAGAAATAATTGCTAAAATTAATTAAATAAAGAAGAAAAAAGGAGAGAGAAGAATGAGAGAAAAGCAAGAAAAATGAATGAAGAAAAATTTTTCGAATTAATTTTTTTTCTAATTTTTTATTTATTTATTTTTTTTTAACGAT